GATGGGCCAAAGGGAATTTGAGCCAAGTTTTAAACCTTTTCATCATTTTTAATTTCCACCTCTTTTTTTTCATCTCTCTTAATCATATCATTCCTTCCACTTCCTGTATGTAACTGGCTGTCGGATTAAGGAAAGTGGGAAGTCCAACAGGAAGTTTGGTGTTCAATTTGCTCTGTTCACTAACAAAAACAGGAATTGCTGAAAAAGCTCAGCACATCTGGCAGCATCTGTGAAGAAAGAAAAAGAGTTCTGAGGAAAGGTCACCGACCTGAAACATTTACTCTGATTATTTTCTTTACAGATGCTGCCAGACCTGCTGAGCTTTTCTGTTCTTGTTTCTGATTTACAGCACCCGCAGTTCTTTCAGTTTTTATTTTGCTTTGCTCGCTGGACAGTGATTCAACCAACGCAGCATTGAAGTTCAGGGAAGGGTCTGATGTGACTGTACCTAATGCACATGACACCGAACAAACAAGAGAACATGCAATCCCACTGCAGGCAAAACCCTGTGACTTTTAATCGTGCTGTCACGCATAATTAAATCTAAATTACCAATCTAGCCCTGAAAAAAATAGTTTTTACAAATTTGGAATCTCGTTTCTTCAAACGTCAATGATTTGTTGGAGAATTTGAACCAAAGTTTGAAACTTTTTCTAAATTTCTGCCTCTTACTCATCTCTCCTAATATCACTCTTTCCCCTTGCTTCACTTTTTGTACATAATTAATTATTGAATTTCAGCTCATACAGATGGAGTTCCTGTATGTACCTCAATGGTAATTATTCTGTCTGGCTATTCCTTAAATTTCACAAATTATCGTTATTTGCTGTAAAGACTCCCTCAGAATAGTAAGGGCCTGCACTAAAGCCCTTTCAAAGTCTGTGGATGGCTAAAAGGACAGTCAACAGCAAATACGGTCACTGCTGACCCACCAGTGTTTGCTAGGAAGTGAGCTTTACTCTGTATCTAACCCCATGCTGTACCTGTTCTGGGAGTGTTTGATGGGAACTGTGTCAGAGGAGCTTTACTTTCTCATCAAAGATTAAAACAAGCCTTACTTTCAGTTTAAAAGGTTAGAGAAAGCTTTATCTAACCTCATGCTGTTCCTGTTCTGGCAGTGTTTGATTGGGAAAGTGTCAAAGGAGCTTTATTTTTACTTGAAAAGATTATAAGGAGACTTACTCAGAGATGGACTTACTTTCAGGTTAAAAGAGAGAGGGAGCTTTACTCTGTACCTAACCCCATGCTGTCCCTGTCCTGGGAGCGTTTGATGGGGGACACTGTACGGGAAGCTTTACTCTGTATCTAACCCCGTGCTGTCCCTGTCCTGGGAGTGTTTGATGGGGGACACTGTACAGGAAGCTTTACTCTGTATCTAACCCCGTGCTGTCCCTGTCCTGGGAGTGTTTGATGAGGGACAGTGTACAGGGCGCTTTACTCTGTATCCAACCCTGTGCTGTCCCTGTCCTGGGAGTGTTTGATGGGGGGATAGTGTCAAGGGACATTTACTTTCCGTTTAGAAGTGTAGAGTCAGCTTTACTCCATATCTATCCCCGTATAGTACCCGTCTTAGGAGAATTTGATGGGGACAATGCAGAGGGAGGTTTATTATCAGTTTAAAAGAGTATCTGGAGCTTTACTCTGTGGCTAACCCCGTGCAGCACTCATCCAGTTTGTGGTCCATGCTAAACCTGGGTGTGTGCAATGGGAAAATATATCATTTGCTGCAGCAACATACCCTCACTTAATGAGGGGACAATTTCCATACAGGATACTCCGGGAGAGAAACCCAGCCTTAAACTTGGGAAGTTGCACTAACTGACCATTCACACGTGCAGTCGACACCTCTTTGACGTTATGGAGTCTGTCGTGAATGATGCAGGTCACAGACGATGTAACATCTCCAGTTGGCCGATATCGGACCTTCACGTCGTACAGTTGCTGCGCGTCTCTGACTTTGGCCACTGTTGACAAAGGCAACAGGTTCTTCCAATCACTGTCTTTCCAGATGACGTCCGGTTCAGGGAACCAGCCCTTTGACTGGCAAGTATACTCCAAGCTGTTGTCGCTAGACTGCCTTATCGATAAGGTTGGTTTGGTTCCAATAGCTAAAAATAAACAAGATGGTTCACTCAGTCCAAACCACCTCAAAATATATCCAGGAGATAGTCTAGACACTAACTTTTTATTTCATTTATAGGCAAATTTAAGGCATTGCAGATGTGATTTGATTTATCTTCCTAATTTACACTAAGAAATGTAATGTAGAACTTTTAGCTTTTCTCTTAACTTCTTTATTTTTGTACCTACGACTTGTGCCTAGGTACTTATGTGGCAACATCGTACACATTTTGCTGTATTTTGTATTTGAGTACAAGTGACAATAATTCTAATTCTAATTCTACAAGGCTTTAAGCAAAACTCATTTTATTACAGAAGGCATGGTTTGCGGATGACACCAAAATTGGTGGCATTGTAGGCAGTGAAGAAGGTTTTCTAAAATTACAAAGGGATCTTGATCAAATGGGTCAATGGGCCGAAAAATGGCAGATGGAGTTCAATCTGGATAAATGCGAGGTACTACATTTTGATACAACAAACAAGGGTAGGGTTTATACAATTAATGATAGGGCCTTGGGTAGTGTCGTAGAACAGAGGGACCCAGGGGTGCAGTTACATAACTATCTGACATTTGTGTCACATATTGGCAGGATGGTTAAAAAGGCATTTGGCACGCTTGTCTTCATTGCTCAGTCCTTTGAGTATAGGAATTAGGACGTTATGTTGAGGTTTTACAGGACATTGTGAGGCCTCTTTTGGAATATTGTGTCCAGTTCTGGCTGCCCAGCTATAGGAAGGATATTATTAAGCTGGACAGGGTTCAGAAGAGATTTACCTGGATGTATGAATGGTTTGAGTTATATAGAAAGGCTAGAAATGTCAGGACATTTGTCAGTGGAGTGTAGGAGTTTGAGATGCAATCTGACAAGTTTATAAAATAATGAGGAGTATAGATGGAATAGAATCCCTACAGTGTGGAAGCAGGCTATTTGGCCAATTGAGTCCACACTGACCCTCCAAACAGCTTTGTGCCCAGACTCACTCCCTACTCTATCCCTGTAATCCTGCAACTTCCATGCCTAACCCACCTAGCCTATACACTGTGGACAACTTAGCACAGCCAATCCATCTAATGTGCCCATCTTTGGACTGTGGGAGGAAATTGGAGCATGCAGAGGAAACCCATGCAGACATGGGGAGAATGTGCAAACTCCACACAGACAGTTGCCTGAAACTGGAATTGAACTGAGGTCCCTGGTGCTGTGAGGTAGCAGCACTAACCACTGAGCCACCGTGCCACCCTTTGCGTTAGTGGTAGTTGTCTTTTCTCTAGGATGGGGGATTTCAAAACTAGGGGCATATTAATGTGAGAGGAGAGAGATTTTAAAAAGCCATGAGAAGCAAACTTTTCACACAGACAGCGGTTCGTGTGTGGAATGAACTTCTCGAGGAAGGGTTGGATGTGGGTGCAATTACAACATTGAAAAGACATCTGGATAAGTACATGAGTAGGAAAGGTTTGGAGGAATATGGACCATGAGCAGGCAGGTGGGACTAGTTTAGTTTGGGATGATGTTTGTCATAGACTGGTTGGACTGTTTCTGTGCTGTGTCTCTACAACTCTAATACAGTTAAAACATAAAAAATAGAATTGGCTTAACTTTATCTCTATTGAAATACTAAACAAAATAATATATTCTTCAACTGCTAATCATCAACTGTTCCAATATGGCAGCATCCCATAAACACTCCCTTGAAGGCAGATTCAGCAAAATCAGATTATCCTCATGTGCTGTTATCTCCCTTCCAGTCCAGGAGGAAGGAACACTGAAAGAAACAATCCAGCAGCAGAGAGAGAATTTGAGCTTTTTGTTGCAGCTGAGAGAGCTGTATCTATCAGCCTCAAACTCGCAACTTCAACTGTTCCCTTTCCAGCGTTTCCCAGTTCCAACGAAACATTAACCCCCTGAAAGGTTAACTCACTTTCTCTCTCCCTCACTCTGTGTTGACAGCATTTTCTGTCCTCTGCTTCAGATTCCCAGCGGTTCGATTTTGTTCAATGCTCTAGTCTGTCACCGGGTATCCTCTGCCATTCCCTTGCATTTCTACAGAACATTTGGCAATTTCAAGGCAATTGGAAAGCCCAGTGAAAATGTCGAGTGGGGATCTCCTCAGAACTAAGGTAACGTTTGCTCATGGCAAGGCCTGCATAGGGAGGTCATTGTCTGACTGGGAAATTAGCACATCAGAACAGACAGATCGATAACCAATTGTTTTGTGCAATTTTGATCTCCTGATCCAAGGAAGGATGTTCTGGCTACGGAGGGAATGCAACAAAAGGGTTTACCAGCCTGATTTTTGGGATGACAGGACTGACGTATGAAGAGACATGAGATCAGCAAGGACTACATTCACTGGAGTTTAGAAGAACGAGTGGGTAATCTCATACAAACCTGTAAAATTCAAACAGGACTAGGCAGGGTAGACGGAGGAAGCATGTTCTCGATGAGCAGAGGGTCTAGAACTAGGGGGTCACAGTCTCAGGGTATGGAATAGGCCATTTAAGATACGGAGGAGGAGAAATCTCTTCAGCCAGAGAGTGAGGAGCCTGTGGAAATTTCTGCCACAGAAAGTTGTTGAATCTTTTCAAGAAGGAGTTTTTAAAAAAAAGTTCTTTGGGCTGAAGGGATCAAAAGGTATTGGGAGAAAGCGGGAACAGGGGATGGAGTTGGATGATTAGCCATGAGCATATGAATGGCATAGCAGGCATGAAGGGCTAAATGGCCTCCTGCCGCTCCTATTTGCCATGCATACGGTTTCCACAGCATTATAATGCACCATTTAAGGCCATCAAATCCTAAGGTGTCACTCCAATCTGGAGCATTTGGCCAAGAAGTTAGGGACCTTATGATGGAGGTAAGGACATTGATGAAACAGCTGAAGATGGTTGGGCCTAGGACACTACCCTGAGAAGCCCCTATAGAGATGTCCTGGAGCTGAGCTGACTGATCTCCAACAACCACAACCATCTTCTTATGTGTGAGGTATAGCTCCAATCGGCTAGTTTGCACTTGATTTTCATTCACTCGAGTTTTAACAAGGGCTACTTGATACCACGCCTTGATGCCAAAGACGGTCACCCACATTTCTCCTCCTAATTTAGCATATTGTCCGCGTTTGGACCAAGGCTATAATGAGATTAGATCTGAATGAACCTTGTAAAACACGAACTGCGCATGAGTGAGCAAGTTATTATCAACTAATTAGCATTGATAACAACACTTGTATCACTTTACTGATGATCGAGAGTAGACCGATGGGGCGGTAATTAGCTGGTTTAGATTTGACCTTCTTTTTACGTACAGGACATACCTGCAATTTTTCACAGTCAGGTATATGCCAGTGTTGTATCTGTACTGGAACAACTTGGCTAAGTAAACAGTAGGATCTGTAGCACAAGTCTGCAGTACTATTGCCAAAATGTTGTCAAGGCCTGTAGCCTTTGCAGTTTCTAGTGTCTCCAATTTTTGATATCACATGGGGTGAATCAAATTGGCTGAAGACTGGTATCTATTAGGTTGGGGACCACTGGGCACAGCCGAGATGCATTATCCACTCGGCACTTCTGGCTGAAGATTGCTGCTATTCTTCAGCCTTATCTTTTGCACTGATGTGCTGGGATCTTCCATCATTGAGGATGGGGATATTTGTGGAGCCCCCTCCTCCAGTGAGTTGTTTAATTGTGCACCAACATGCACGACTGGATGTGGCAGGACTGCAGAGCTTAGGTCTGATCCGTTGGATGTGGGATCGCTTAGCTCTGTCTATCACTTGCTGCTTTCGCTGTTTGGCGTGCAAGTAGTCCTGTTTGGTGGCTCCACCAGGTTGATACCTTATCTTCAGGTATGCCTGGTGCTGCTCCTGGCATGCCCTCCTGCACTCTCCATTGAACCAGGGTTGATCCCCTGGCTTGATGGTAATGGTTGAGTGGGGGATATACCAATTGTGCTGGAGTACAATCCTGCTGCTGTTGATGGCCCACAGCGCCTCATGGATGCCCAGCTTTGAGTTGCTGGATCTGTGCAAAGTCTGTCCCATTTAGCACGGTGATAGTGCCACACAACAAGATAGCGGTTGTTCTCAAAGTGAAGGCGGGACTTCATCCCCACAAGGATTGTGCGGTGGTCACTCTTACTGATACTGTTGTGGACAGATGCATCTGCAGCTGGCAGATTGGTAAGGATGAGGTCAAGCATGTTCTTCTCTCACGTTGGTTCCCTCACCACCTGTCAAAGAACCAGTCTAGCAGCTTTGTCCTTTAGGACCCAGCCAGCTCAATCAGTCGTGCTGCTGTCGAGCCACTTATAGTGGTGGGCATTGAAATCCCCCATCCAGAGTACATTTTCTGCCCTTGCCATCATGAATGCTTCCTCCAAGTATGTTCAACATGGAGGAATACTGATTCATCAGCCAAGGGAGGATGGTATCTGGTAATTAGTAGGAGGTTTCCTTGCCTGTGTTTAATGCCATGAGACTTCATGCATATAGAGTCTCAGGGCAATTCCCTCCTGACTGTATACTGATGTCCTGCCAACACTGCTGAGTCTGTTAATGAGGCACACACCGGGATGGGTGATGGTGGTGTCTGGCACATTGGCTGCAAGGTACGATTCCATGAGTATGACTATGTCAGGCTGTTGCTCGACTAGTCTGTGAGACAGCTCTCCCAATTTTGGCACTAACCCCCAGATGTTAGTGAGGAGGACTTTGCAGGGTCGACGGGCGTTATCTTTCCCGGTGCTGAGGTCAATATCAGACGGTCTGTCTACTTCCATTTCTTGTGTCAGACTTTGGGGTGGTTTGATGCGGCTGGGTGAGGTACTTGGCCATTTCAGGAGGCAATTATAAATTACGCACATTGCTGTGCGCTTCAAGTCACACACAGGCCAGACCCAGCTTTTATGACAACTGACAACGGTTCCGCGCTTTTAAATCCGGGTTCATTAACTGAACTCAAATTTCCCCAATTGCCCGTGGCAGGATTCTAACCTGAGTCCTCAGAACATGAGCCTGGGGCCTCAGGATTACCAGTCCTGCACGGCACCCGAACCAACAATGTTCTGACTCACAGGGGGTGGGGGGCCCTCGGCCTAAAGACTGCAGGTGGGCCTTGATCAGATCAAAACAGAAAGCTCCTCAGGTCTGCCAGCATCCGTGAAGAGAAATCAGGGTCAGCGTTTCGGGTCCGGTGACCCTCCCTCGTAACATCTCAACCCAAAACCCTAACTCTGATTTCTCCCCACAGACACTGCCAGTCAAACATAGAACATAGAACAGTACAGCACAGTACAGGCCCTTCGGCCCACAATGTTGTGCCAACCTATTATCCTACTTAAGATCAAACTACCCTGCATACCCTACATTTTACCATCCTCCATGTGCCTATCCAAGAGTCTCTTAAAAGTTTCTAAAGTATCTGACTCCACTACCACTGCTGGCAGCGCATTCCACAGTCCTGCTGAGATTTTCCAGCAACTTCTGTTTTTGTTCCTTCGTTCGATCTGGACATTGCCGGCTGGGCAAACATTTCTTGCCCGTCCCCTGATTGCCCTTGAACTGGGTAGCTTGCCCAGTTATTTCACAGGGTGGTTAAGAGTCAACCCCATTGCCATGGGCCTGGAGTCATATGACCAGGTAAGGATGGCAGGTTTCCCCTCCCTCATGGACATTAGTAAGCCCGATGTGTTTTCTCCCAACACTCAATGGCTGCCATGGTAACTGCAAGCGAGACAAGTGTTCAATCCTGAACCAAATTTAAGCTCCACCAACTAACGTGGTGCGATTTGAACCCACGGCCCTCTTAGCGTTGGCCTAGCCTTCTGGATGACTGGCCAAATGACATTACCACTATGCCACTGTAACACCCAGCCTGCTGCAGTTAAACTGCTCCTCTTACCCACAATGCTCAGCTCCAGGCTCACATGGCTGGAATAGCTACTGGATGCGACAGCGCACTGATATTTCCCAGCGTCGGAAACCTTCACCTCCTGCAGTTTGATCGACATGTTTCCTGACACCAGCTCGCCCTCAAAGTGCTGCACCCCAGCCCAGTAGCCTCGGCACGGACCTTCTGGGATGTCTTCGCACACCAGAACCTTGGCTCCGGATTCCGGCTTGCTCCATTCAACCTGCAGCTTCGACTCCTCCCTGTGGAATACCACTGAGCAGTTCAGAACCACGTCTGTCCCCAAGAGGGCGATGGTGGGGTAATCCGGCCCTTTAACGGTGAACCCACCTGGTATGAAGAGGAAGCAAAAGAGCACACACACATACACACACACACAATTAGACCAATAATGGGGCAGCAAGTCCTGACTAGACAAAAAGATACTCTCAGGAAACTCCGTGGTCAGTAGCAAACGTACCACTATCCAACCCTTTGGTCCAACTCGTCCATGCCGACCACATATCCTAAATCAATCTAGTCCCATTTGGCCCATATCCCTCTGAACCCTTCCTCTTTATGTACCCATCCAGATGCCTTTTAAATGTTGTAATTGTACCATCCTCCACCACTTCCTCTGGCAGCTCACTTTCCTCCAACTATAACACCTGTGTGTGTGTGTGTGTGTGTGTGTGAGTATATTTATAATATGTGTATAGGTGTGTGTGTGTGTGTGTGTGTGTGTGTGTGTGTCTGTATGTGTGCGTGTGCATGTATTTATAACGTGTGTATGGGTCTGTGTGTATGGGTGTGAGCATTTGTAATGTGTGTATGGGTTTGTGTGTGTGTTTGTGTATATTTGTATGAATGTGTGTTTGTATATGTTTGTATCTTTGTGTATCTGTGTATGTCTATGTGTGTGTCTGTGTCTATGAGCGTGTGTATGTACGTGTGCGCACTTATATATATAAATGTGTGTGTGTTGTTGGGGGGCAGGGAGGGGGGTATTTTATAAATTGTTTGGAATTTTAACTATTAGAGTTATGTCTGGACAGTTCGCAATTGTTCCTCTGTCATTCGAAACTATTTATTTGTAATTAATCGTAATTCTCGTTACCTATAGAAATATGCATGCTTTCCTTCAGCCTGTATCTAAAAGGCAGGTCGATTGGGAAATTCTGCATACTTTGATAGAATCTTTTACTTTGCAACGACCCTGGGAATCACAGGGCATTATCCCAGCCAAGGCATGACAAGAGACAAGCAAAATACTGGAGATATTCAGCAAGTCAGGCAGAGACTGTGGATAGAGAGAGAAATGGAGCTAATGAGTCCGGAACCAGATGCCCAATCACCAGAATGACTGAAGGTAGATAGAGATGTAGGAAGCCATTGGAAGCAGGAGGCTGTAGGGGGAATGGGTGGGTTTGTGACAGAAGGCCGGAAAACTTGAACATGAGTGGGTTTGATGAATCAACAGTTAAGGAGAGCAGTAATAGACACAGTAAGGATACAGCAGTCATATCCAAATGAGGTGAGAATGCATCATGTGGCTACTTTGTAGCCAATGAGAATGAAGACAGAAACAAGCCAACAACAACAAAAAAAGCACACAGCCACGTACAGAGAACAAGACAGAGGCAGAGAGTCTGATCTAGACTTGTTAAACACAATGTTGAGTCCAGAAAGTTAGAGTCACAGAGCTGTACGGCACGGAAACAAACCCTTTGGTCCAACTCGTCCATGCCAACCAGATATCTGAAATCAATCTCGTCCCACTTGGCCCATATCCTTCTGTACCCTTCCTTTTCATGTACCCATCCAGATGCCTTTTAAATGTTGTAATTGTACCAGCCACCACTACTTCCTCTGGTAGCTCATTCCATACATGCACCACCCTCTGCACAGAAGAGTTGCCCCCTTAGGTCCCTTTTCAATCTTTCCCCTCTCACCTTAAACCTATGCCCTCTAAACTTGGCTGTTCACCCTATCCATGTCCTTCATGATTTTATAAACTTCTATGAGGTCACCCCTCACCTCTGACTCTCCAGGGAAAATAGCCCCAGCCTATTCAGCCTCTCTTTGTAGCTTAAACCCTCCAATCCCAGCAACATCCTTGTCAATCTTTTTTGAAGTCTTTCAAGTTTCACAACATCCTTCCTTTATCAGGGAGACCAGAATCGAACGCAGTATTCCAAAAGTGGCCTAAGCAATGTCCTGTACAGTCGTGACGTGACCTCCCAATATAGAATGAGATTTACAACTCAAAACAGTCTGTGCTCACATATTTGGATGACATTCAGACTTGGGCTGGTATGTGGCAAGTAACATTTGCACACACAAGTGCCAGGCAATGGCCATCTCCAAAAAAAGAGAATTGAACCAACGACCTTGACAATCAATGGCATTACCATCACTGAATCCCCCATTAGTGACATCCTGGGGGTTACCAATCACCTTAAGCCAACTGGATTTCCCATTTACAGAATGGAAATGATAAGCAGGTGAAAGGCTGTGCATTGGTAATTTTTAGCTCATCCTCTCACTCCCCAAAGCCAACATCCACAAGGTACAAGTCAGGAGTGCGATGGAATACTCCCCACTTGCCTGGATGAGTGCAGCCCCAACAACACTCAAGAAGCTTGACACCGTCCAGGACAAAGCAGCCCCCACTTGACTCACCCCACAGCACAGGCACAACAACGTCTCTACTTCCCCAGGAGGCTAAGGAAATTCAGCATGTCTGTAAAGACTCTTACCAATTTTAGTAGAATGCTTTCTGTGTTGCATCTATCTACATGCATCATGGTTTGGTACGGCAACTGCTCTGCCCAGGACTGTAAGAAACTACAGAGAGTTGCGAACACAGCTCAATCCATCACGTAAACCAACCTTCCATCCAATGACTCCATCTACACGTCTTGCTGCCTCAGGAAGGCAGCCAACATCATCAAAGACCACTCCTACCCTGGCTCTTCCATTAGGCAGAAGATAGAAAAGCTTAAACACACAGACCAACAGATTCAAGAACAGCCTCTTCCCTGCTGTTATTGGGCTTCTAAACGGACCTCTCAAGTTTCAAATTTAATGTTGATCTCACTCTCTGTGCAGCTTCTCTGCGGCCGTGACATTGCAGTCCTCGCTCCGTTCTATTATGCACTGCCGGTCCTGCAGGCAAAACCAAACTTTTCACTGTACCTAAGTACATGTGACAATAATAAATCAAATCAAATCAAATCTACCTCCTTCAACCTTCACTCCCCAGCCCCAGCACCAGAGTGTGTACCAGCTAAAAGACGAACTGCAGTCACTCACCCAGGCTCCTCCGACAGCACCTTCCAAAGCTGCCACCCCTATTCCAAGGGCAGTAAACACATGGGAACACCAGCAGCACTCACCATCCTGATTTGGCAGCACATCACTGCGCCTTCACTGTCCCTGCATCAAGAGCCTGGAACTCCCTCCCTAACAGTACGGGCCCAAGGACAGCAACAGCTCACCATCACCTTCTCTGAGGCAATACATTCTGGTTTTACCATCGCTGCCTGTGTCTTTCCAATGAATTGAGGGAAAGGGCTTAAAGAAAGAGAGTTGGAGAAACGGTGAGGGCGAGCGGGCAAAGGGTTAGCGTTAGGCCGAAGCCTGGAGTTTAGGCCGCAGCCGCCAACAGTAAAGTGGTTACAGTCAGGCAGTTGACGGAAGAGGTCAGGATTGAAAGGGCAGAGTGATCTCAGCAGGTTGACGCGGTCACAGAGCCCAATAACAAAGGTCAGGGTGTAGTGATCTTCGGGGGATGAGAACTGGAAGCAGGCACTGGCTTACATCTTCGCCCTCTCCGAGGAAGGAAGGGATTAGCCTCTGTCTACTTTCAGGTCAGTGGCCCATAACAGCCTCACCTCGCTGCGAGTCGCACAGGTAGGAGACAAACACACATCCTGAGAGTAGGAGGGCCTGCACAAACAGGTCGGTCAGTAAGCTGCACCTTCGATCCGATCCTGGGCTGTCCGAGTGTTCTGGAAAAGATGCAAGAAAGCAGCGTTACTCCCTCGGCTCTCCCCACCTTCCTCCCCAGCACGGGGTTTCCCAGCCACACCCCTGCTCTGCAGTCCATCCCTCCGAGAAGCCTCCCTTTCATCGTCACCTCACCTGTACGGCATCAAAGACAGGTCAAAGGGCCACTTCTAAATAAAAAAACCCTCCAGCGATATTAACCCCATGCTCAGCCAGGTCAGACACTTCCTGCAGCACAGAGTAGGGTAATTTGACCTAACTCCTCATTCCCGCCCCATTTACCGGAATTTATTTAAGTTGCGTTGAACATGTGGGCATCGCACACTAAAGCATTTGTCGCCCAGCCCCTGTTTGCCCTGGAATGGACAAAAGGGGGTCTTCCCCAATTTTCTGCCCGTCCCTTTTTACGGCACCCAGCCGGAAGAGACAGCCTGAGCCGTCCACTTCCCTGGAGTATGTCGCTGCCAGAGAACGGAGACAGGCTGCAGGGAATCCATCAGCGGTCACCAGACAAGCAAATCTGACACTGATCGGATTCTGCGGACTCAGTTCAAACTTCAAGCTACCACACTGGCATCGGCACAACAATGTGGAGCGGTATGCCTTGTTCGCAAAAAGCAGGACAAATCCACTTGGCCAATTACCACCTCCATCAGTCTCCTCTTGATCATCAGTAAAGTGATGGAAGGTGGCATCAACAGTGTGATCCAGCAGAAACTGCTGAGCAATAACCTGCTCAGTGACACCCAGTTTGGGTTCTGCCAGAGCCATTCAGCTTCTGACCTCATTCCAGCCTTGGTTTAAACATGGACAAAAGAGCCGAATTCCAGAGGTGAGGTGAAAGTGACAGCCCTCCACATCAAGGCTGCATTCAACCGAGTGTGGCATCAAGGAGCCTTTGCAAAACTGGAATCGAGAAGCAAACTGTCCGCTGGTTGGAGTCATACCTGACACACAAGAAGATGGTTGTGGTCGTGAGAGGTCAGTCATCTCAGGAACACCATCACCCTGCAAGATCCCAATGATGTGGACCCAGTTTGCTGTTCCTTCACCGTTGCTGGGTCAAATATATATGGCCTCCAAAACAACTCTACAGGAGACCCTACATCCCCCGGAGGTCGTGGGGGAGTGCAGTAGTTCAGGAAGGGCAGCATATTCCAACAAGGTATAGGAGATTGGCAATAAACACTGGCCTAGCCACAGATACCCACTGACAAGTTACAGAAACACTGAAGATGAAGTTGTGAACAGGTTGAAACAGAAGTAGGCCATTCAGCCCCTCGTGTGCTGATTAACTGGATCATATCTGAACTCCACTCATCTGACTAACAAGAGTTTTATCCAGCTCAGGATTGAGAATTTCAATCTATCATGCCAAAATTTTGGGGGAGTGTCCTCAGTTTAGAGAAAAAAAACAAGTGTTTCCCGACGTCACTCTGAGAAAGGTCTTCCTCTTATTTTAAGACTGGCCCAATGTTGCAGATTTGCCCCATACACTTTAATATTCAGAGTACCTCATTCAGATCACCTTTTGACCTTCTAAAAATTGAGGGAATGTTAGCCATGCTTCTGCAACCTGTCTATGTAAGATAAACATCCAAATTCCAGGCAGAGGTTTAACAATGATCTGGGAAACAGCTCAGGTTAGTCCATGAGCAACATGCTCCCGCCATTTTTAACCCTGCACCTCATTCTGACACCGATCTCTGTGTCCTCGGTCTGCAATCCCGATCCACTGCAGCTCAGTGCAAACTTAGGTTGCGGGTTTGTGATGCCAAAGGCCTGGGTTCAATTCCTGCACCTCCTGAGATTACCATAATACCACAAGATATAGGAGCCAAATTAGGCCATTCGGCCCATTGAGATTTCCCCCCCATCTCAGACTACATTCCTTTCGATTGACGCCCCACCCTGTGCCCCATGTCACCACTTTAACCCCCATTACATTTCTAATACCTCCCCACTGTGGAAGGGCATTGACACCTGGGTGTGTGAGCTTGGTTTCTCTCTGGATACCCAGCTCACTCTCTTTCTGCACATCCCCCACCTCGCAAGCTGACTCCTATAACACATGGGGGCGGGTGGAGAGATTTGATTAGCTCAGTTGGATGGACTGCTAGTTTGTGACCTGGGTTCAATTCCTGCACCATCTCAGATTACCATATGGCTAATTCTGCTCCTTTATCATGTGGCCTTTCGGCCCATCGAATCTGCCTCACCATTCAATCACACCTGATGTGTTTCCTATTCTCCTGCCTTCTCCCCCATGACCCTTGATCCCCCTGACTAATCAAGAACTTATCTATCTCTGTCTTAAATACACTCAATGATTTGGCCTCCACAGCCCTCTGCAGCAATGAGTTTCACTGATTCACCAACCTCTGGCTGAAGAAATTCCTCCCCATCTCAGTTCGAAAGGGTCGTCCCTTCATGCTGAGGCTGTACCCTCACGTTCTAGTCTCTCCTACTAATGGAAACGTTTTCTCTATGTCTACTCTATCTGGGCCTCTCAGTATTCTGTAAGTTTCAATCAGATCCTCCTACATCATCCTTCTAAACTCGATCAAGCACCAACCTAGAGACCTCAACCACTCCTCACATGACAAGCCCTTTATCCCAGGATCATTCTTGTAAACCTCCTCTGGAGCCCCTCCAATGCCAACACATTCCTCCTTAGATACGGGACTCAAACCTATTCACAATATTACCAAGTTAACAATATTACCATGAAGGACTCTCCTTCTCATCTTCTTCCTTTGCCTCAAGCATGTTGGCCCTCAGATTGAACTCAGCACCTGCTGCCTCTTCTTTTCTCTCTCTCTCTCTAGCTCTCTACTTCTCTTTATCCAGTTCTCTCCCTCTCCCTTTCTCTCTAGCTCTCCCCTCTCCTCTCTCTCTCTCTCTCTCCACCCCACTCTCTACCAAGCTCTGCCTGTCCCTAGCATGCACTCTCACTCCCCCAGTGCATGCTCTCTCTCTCTCTCCCCCTCTCTTGCCACCCCCTCCACTTCTTCCTCCCTCTCTCTCTCTATTTAGCTCTCTCTCTTCCCTCCTTCTCTCTAGCTCTTTCTCTTCCTCTCTCCTCCTTCCATCTCTCTCTCTCACCTTCTTTAGTCCTCTCCCTCCAGCTCTCCCTCCCGCTCGCTGAGTGAACTGCCTGTGGTCCTCTGGGATAGGGGAGATTTTCACTTTCACACTGGATGCTGGAAAGACCAGATCCATCAGCCTGGCCACGATTTATAATGAAAGAACTAACCGTCAATAAGCTCACAGACTATTGATCTAAATTATACACTGCCCACACCAGGGGTGGCATGGTTGGCATGGGCAGTCGGACTGGAATGGCAGCCTTTCTGGTTTCAATTATTTAAAGGGTGGGTGTAGGAAGGGAGAGGGAGGTAACTATCTTCAGAGGATAGTATGTCCTTTGTCCATATGGGGCAAACCTCTCCCCCCGAAGGTATTAACCCCCCCCCCCCCCGCCATTTTCTTTGTAGAAGCTAAACTCTGAAATCCAGTTCCTCTTCCTCCCTACAGGTGGCCAAACCCTCCTGCCTACAATTTGCCCCATTTGCCCCACTCGGTGGGTGGGGGTAGCGGAATCTCGTCCCTGCTGTTAGCCCGTGCACCCTACCCTGATTAAAGAAAGTTGTTCACGATAAACCTCAAGCATCTCCCAGTTCAGGAAATGAACTCCTGAAGCGGGAAGGGAGTGATCATTAGGCGCACAGCAAGATCCCACAAAGTACAAGACAAGTCACCATCCACAGTTTGAGCTGTCGGTTGAGTGCTAAGTGCTGACCGACAAATCACAGTGAATGTGCCCACTTCAGTCTTCACCAAAGGGGGCACGAACCCTCCCTGACCCTGTGACGAAGGGGTCACGGAGACACAGCAACAGTACCCTGCTGCTGACTGCCCTGTGCTCAAACCTATGGTGGGGGGGGGTCACAAATTCCAGACCCAGACGCGTGGACCCTCATCACTGAAGCCATGGTCAGTTCCTTCCCCCCCACAAACCACATTGAGACAGAGTCAGGCAAAAGGCTGTCCCCGGACTGTGCAAAGCCTGGGTCTGAAACAGAGAATCCTTACAGTGTGGAAGCAGGCCATTCAGCCCATCGGGTCCACACCAACCCTCCGAAAAACATCCTACCCAGACCCACCCCACCCTATCCCTGTAACCCCGTATTTCCAATGGCTAACCCACCCAGCCTGCACACTATGGGGGCAATTTAGCACAGCCAATCCATCCTAACCTGCACATCTTTGGACTGTGGGAGGAAACCAGAGCACCCGGAGGAAACCCACGCAGACACAGGGAGAATGTGCAAACTCCACACAGACAGTCACCCGAGGCTGGAATCGAAACCAGGTCCCTGGTGCTGTGAGGTAGCAGTGCTAGCCACTGAGCCACCGAGCCACCGCGCCACCCTGACAAACACCACAGTGGTCCTCTTGCCTTCACGGAGGCCAGGCCTGACCAGCTGCATTGACACGTGAAGCGAAACAGTCAGAGAGAGAGAGAGAGAGAGAGTGTTAGCACTTTGAGGAGAAAGTGGCGGAGACATCTGCAGGGTGGAGTGAAGGAGAATCGACCCATTATTTCACAATTTGTCTGGAATGTTAACCTTCAGCTCCCTCCCATTTACCACAAACAACACTCAGGGAGCCCCATTGTGGGAGTCAACTTCTCGATAAATGGCAACAATAGCATAATGTGAAATGTCTGTGAGACAATAATAACGAGGGCTCGGCAACTGAGAGTCAACAGGGCAGGCCAATCTTCGCCCTGACCTGCCTCGTGTTGAAATCGCTGGAGTGTAAGTGTGGGCAGAGTGTGAACAGGCGTCTCAACCCAGCCACAGGTTTGGCTGTTGTGATCAGCGATTACCACAAGGCAGCTGCTCCTGTCTCCGTCTGTGGAAGACTTCCTTAGACAGCACCTTCAAAACCTGCAATCCTCTGCCATCTGGAAGGGCAGGGGCAGTGGATACATGGATCACCATCCGCCCACAAGATCCACCCCCCCTTCTCAGCCACACCCCCATCCTAACTTGGACATAGATCACTCACTGTCATTGGATCTCTCCCTAACAGATCCCTGCAGCACAGGGACTGCACAGGTTCGAAGGGCAGGTCATCAACACCATCTGCAGGGCAATTGGGGATTGGCAATAAATATTGACCTCACCAGAAATGCCCACGTCCCCTGCAGGAATAAATATTTTAAAACAAGCTGTGCATCATCATTCCTTTCCCTTTCTTCACACGGCTGCAGACTTTCTTTTTCTCAACTCTGTAATGACTGAACACGTTCCCACTGCGCTTCCAGAGATTGTATTCCATGTCGCCACAACTCGCCTCGTATTTATTAAGCTCTCCTCCCTCAGGTTATGAGCTTGTTTAGGCAACTGTCTCCAATCTATCTCCTCTGATAATGCAAGCTTTTGGAGCCCAGCTCCTTCCTCAGGTGTAGTGAGACAGAGAGGGGGACGCGATGGCCTAGTGGTATTATCGCTGGACTGTTAAGTCAGAGACCCAGGTAATGTTTTGGGGACCCAGGTTTTAATCCTGCCACAGCAGATGGTGGAATTTGAATTCAATAAAAATCTGGAATTAAGAATCTAATGACGACCATGAATCCATTATTGATTGTTGGAAAAACTAATCTGGTTCATTAATGTCCTTTAGGGAAGGAAACTGCCATCCTTACCTGGTCTGGCCTACATGTGACTCCAGACCCACAGCCACATGGTTAACTCTGAACTGCCCTCTCGGCAATTAGCGATGGGCAATAAGTGCTGCCTGGTCAGCGACGCCCTCAACCCGTTAATGAATAAAGGAAAAAAGAAGACACAGAATTTACAAGCAAAAAAGTAACATCTAAAATGTATTGTCTGACCTGAGAAGTCACCTCTTGTGTACATTGATAAAGCCTTTAATTGTCTAGGGCCAATGACTTGAAACGAATCTGGATTTTGCATTTTAATCAGTGGTCTCCTTCCAAACTGATTAAAAACTCAACAAGAGGTGGCCAGTTTTAGGGTTGCTACTTTTCTGCTTATAAATTCTGTCCTATACCCTCTCTCTCACTGTGCCTGAGGAAGGTGCTGGGCTCCAATAGCTTGCGTTTTCAAATAAACCTGGAGATCGGCATCTCCACATTATCCTCTGATTACCATCGCTGCTGCTACTTCACACAGTTTCTCTTTACAGAGTAAGTCCCGCAGGAAGCAGCTTAACAGGAATACGCAGGGCAAACACAGGAAGGGTGTTCCCACTGACTGGGGAGTCCAGAACCGGGGGTCATATCCTAAGGATATGAGGTAGGACATCTCGGACTGAGACGAGGAGAAATCTCTTCACCCACAGAGTGGGAGCCTACGGAATTCTCTGCCACAGAAAGCAGTTGAGGCCAAACTGTTAGATATAACTATAGTCCTACGGTAATAATGCACAGAAACTGACCCTTCGGCCCAACTCGCCCATGGCAACCAAGTTGCCCAAAATAAACTAGTCCCAGTTGCCTGTGCTTGGCTCATGTCTCTATAAACCTTTCCTATTCATGTACCTGTCCAAATGTCTTTTAAATGTTGTAACTGTATCTGCAAATACCACTTCCTCTGGCAGCTCGTTCCATATATGCACCAGCCTCTTGTGTGAAAAAGTTACCCTCAGGTCCTGTTAAATCTTTCACCTCTCACCTTAAAAATGAGCTCCCTAATCTAGAAATCCCCCACCCTAGGGAAAAGACACCTGCCATTCGCTTTATCTGTTATCACGTGATTTTATAAACCTCTTTAAGATCACCCCTCAACCTCCTACGTTCTACAGAAAAGAGTCTAGCTTATCCAGCCTCTCCTTATTACTCAAACCCTCCATTCCCAGCAACATCCTGGTAAATCTTTTCTTAACCCTCTCCAGATTAATAATATCCTTCCTATAACTGGGTGACCAGAACTGGATACAGTACTCCAGAAGAGGGTGACCACTCCACATGTGGCATGGTGGCTCAGTGGCTCAGTGGTTAGCACTGCTGCCTTGCAGTACTAGGGACCTGGGTTCAATTCCACCCTCGGGTGACTGTCTGTGTGGAGTTTGCACATTCTCCCTGTGTCTGTGTAGGTTTTCTCCAGGTTCCTCCCACAATCCAAAGATGTGCAGGTTGGGGTGGATTGGCCATGCTAAGTTGCCCATAGTGACCAGGGATGTGCAGATTAGGTGGGTTAGCCAAGGGAAATGCAGGGTTAAAGGGATAGGGAAGTGGGTATGGGTCTGGCTGGGATGCTCTTTGGAGGGTTTGTGTAGACTTGATGGGCTGTAGTCATTCTGTGATAAGAGGCCTCATTAATGTCCTGTACAACCTCAACATGATGTCCCAACTCCTATACTCAAAGGTCTGAGCAATGAAGGTAAGCATGCTAACCACCTTGTAATGTAAATTTTATAGAATTATGTACCTACACCCCTAGGTCTCTCTGTTCTATAACAGCACCTACTTTTAATTGTATAAGTCCTGTCCCTGTTTGTTTTATCAAAACACTACACCTCGCATTATCCAAATTAAATTAAATCTTATGTGGTTCTGATCTCATGGCTACTATTTTCAAGAGAAACTGGCCAGTGCTTTACAATGTCTACATTGACATTTCTTCCTCAACCAACATTGTTAAGAACAAACTACCTGCTCCCTACTGGTATGTGCAAATTAGTTGCCGTGTCTATTTTACAAGGATTGTGTCCAATGTAATCCAATGGCTCTCTGAGGCGAGGTTTTGCAAGATCTGGAGGTGGAGTAAAGAGCTTCATATGAATACAGTCTTCTTTTTCCAGCCACATCCAGCTGTCCGAGTGGAAAGCCCTGTCAATATTAACCGCCAGTAACACTGTTTTCCTTTCCTGTTCATTCATGGGGCATTGCCATCACTGGCTCAGCAGCATTTATTGCCCATCCCTAATTGCCCGGAGGGCAGTTCAGAGTCAACCACATTGCTGTGGGTCTGGAGTCACACGTAGGCCAGACCAGGTAAGGATGGCAGTTTCCTTCCCTAAAGGACATCAGCAAACCAGATGGGCCTTAAATGACAATTGACAATGGTTACCATTACAGTAGCATTTTGTATTCAAAATCAAATTTCACCACCTGTCATGGAAGGGTTTGAATCGATGTCCTCCGGGTGTCTGGGCTGCGGGATTACTACTCCAGTGATGTTACCTGTACAACTCCCTATATACTGCCGCCTGTAACACCGTCTGTCCCTGCTTTGGTACTTACTTTTGCGATAGACTATCCAGGAGGTCATGCTGACAGATATCATTGTCACTGCCAAGGTTGTCCATGTGGAGCCTGACCAGTTTGAAATTCCAGAAGGATATAATCGGCCTGTAAAACAGTGAAATTAACAAAGGGCTGACAGAGCATGTACCCATGAAAACACACCACACACACACACACACGTACACAGAGCAAGGATACATATGTACATTCCATTTATTAGTCTCTCAAGGGTTAGACTGGAAGAAAGTGACCTACTGGCTCAGGATGGTTTTGATTTCATGCCTACCCTATCTGTATGGTACACGGTATGTGAACTGCTTTCCTGGGTTGCAGGACAACAGAAGGCACAGAGAGAGTATCGATCCAAACTGCACAATCTAAGGCACACTGACTTACCATCCAGTTCAGCTCTTAACCGCAGTCGCACCTCTTTCACTGTTAGCTGGATTGGCCGTGCTAACTTGTCCATAGTGGCTGGGAATGTGTACGCTAGGTGGGCTAGCCATGGATAATGCAGGATTACAGGGGTACGGTAGGGGGTTAAGTCTGGGTGGGATGCTCCTTGGAGGCTCAGTGCAGACCTGATGGATTGAATGGTCTCTTTCTGCACTGTAGGGATTCTATGAAACCTGAAGATAGTGGGATGAAGTTCCACCTTAGAGTCTTGAGCACGTTAAAACATATTTATTTCATGGCTGCAAACCACCAAACGTCAAGTGATTTGCTCCTCATTCACAGAGCTAAGGGTGATCTACTCTGTAAATGAGGAATGGATCATTCTCAGCTCAAACGAGCAGTAGATCACTCGAGCTGAGAGTGATAATTTCCTCATTTACAGAGTAGATCACCCTCAGCTCTGTGAATGAGGAGCAGATCACTTTTGGCTTAAACGAGCAGTAGGTCACTCTCAGCTGCTGGTTTGAGCTGAGAGTGATCCGCTCCTCATTCACAGCCATGAGTGATCTACTGCTCGTTTGAGCTGACAGCGATCCATTCCTCATTCACAGAGCTGAGAGTGATCGACTCCTCATTCACAGAGCTGAGAGTGATCTGTTGCTCCCTTACAGAGCTGAATGAGATTAGTCTGCTCACTGCCTGTAGAGCAGACTGCCCTTGGTAAGGTGCTGCATGGGTTTGTGCCTTTCCACAAGTGCATGAGGGGTTTGTATGAAGGCCCCAGGATTTGACGTTGGCTGTGCAGGGGCCCAGGATGGTCCTGGACCTGTTTAGTTAGGGCTGCTCTCACCATGGTCATTTACAGCCTGCAATTCCAATAGGCACTGTCACAACGAGCGTGTTAATGGCTTTCTGCAGTTCCCATGGCTTTATCCAAAGTTGGCAGATCTTCCTCAGGAAGACTGATCCACACAGAGGGCCAAGACAGAAGGCAGGCAATAGATGGGTCCAGCGGGTCACCATGTGGTGGCAAATGAGAAGGAGCGAGGATGTTTCTGGGCTTTCGACAGTTTGGGGATGATGTGTGGATGAGGGCTTTGTTTGTTTACAAAGGAGTGAGGAGCCAGGGTGCCTTCAGAATCACAACAAGCCTATCACTATTGCCTCAACAACCAAGAGACAAACTTGACTGTTGCACAAAAAAAAAGATATTAAGCTGCAGCTTGTCGCCTAGCACTCATCAGGACAGTTGCAAGAATGCCAAATTTCAAGTGACCACAACAATTTACACACGTAGGAGAAGAAGGTGCTAATTCGTTGGCAAGTAGATTCCAGTTGGCCGAGATGTTGCCACAATGAAAACAGAGACTCCCTCATAATTCAAAAGCAGTGCAAGGTTAGAGTGTATCCCTTCTGTTTGGAGAGAATTGGTCCCTGGATACAAATGTCCATCACTTCTATTCATTGTACGTATTCATGTGTTATCTTCAAATAGTTGTTAGTGTGGCATTTAGCACATTGCAGATTAGAGTCTTAGAGTTATACAGCATGGAAACAGACCCTTTGGTCCAACTTGTCCACGCTGACCAAACATCCTAAATTAATCTAGTCCCATTTGCCAGCATTTGATCCATATCCCTCTTAAACCCTTCCTATTCATGTACCCATCTAGATGCCTTTTAAATGTTGTAATTGTACCAGCCTCCACCACTTCCTCTGGCAGCTCATTCCATACATGCACCACCATGATAATGTTGCCCCTTAGGTCCTTTTTATAAACCTCTATAGGGTCACCCCTCACCTCTGACGCACCTCTGACCCAACCTTTTCAGCCTCTCCCTGTAGCTCAAACCCTCCAACATTGGCAACATCCTTGTAAATCTTCTCTGAACCCTTTCAAGTTTAACAACATCCTTCCTATAGCAGGGATACCACAATTGAACGCAGTATTCCAAAAGTGACCTAACCAAGGTCCTGTACAGCTGCAACATGACCTTCCAACTCCTATACTCAATGCACTGACCAATAAGTGCCGCCCAGTCGCTTCACAAACCTCATTATCGCTTCTAACGAGTCAGAGTACTTTACAAAATGAAAATGTTTACTGCATCTGATAATGATTTATTTTTCAAAAAAAGAATCTTTTGAGAGTAAAGTCTGTAAAGCCCTCAAGAAGTACTCTAAAACAGTATCCCAGGTAATATCGCGCTGTTTACACTTGACCTCAGTTGAACCGTGCTGGTCCAGGAATTGATCCCGGGTTATACTGTGCTGCAGCTCGCCGTGCAGAGCTGGGCCAGTTTACAT